GGTTTCATTTATTTTCTTTTCTTTTGGATGATGTACTATTGGGCTGACAACTGGACCTAACGTATTGTGGCTGAGCTTTTGTTTTCCCTTTAGCTGTGCCTTTGCCGTGACTGGTCCCTCTCTCCAGTCCTCTTCACTCATACTGGTCCCCTTCCTGTCTCATGCAGTCCGCGCAAACCGGTAACATCGTTCCCCTTATCCTTCCCTCTTCTCCATTGAGGGCAATGTCGAACTTAAGTGTGGGAGGATGTTTCTCTTTTGACTGCATTAGATCTGTTTGTGTGCTTGGAGCCTAGTCCACTGTCCAAATCTCGATTTGAGGGCTCCAAGTAAGTGTTTCCTTGCAAATTGCCTGCTCAGTATGCTTTGAATGGACAGTCTCTATAGTAATGTGCAACCTAGGGAGGTAGTGTAGCACTATGGAGGATGTTGATGCATAAGATTTTTACTATGTAGCTCTCTGCTGTGCTGGTTGATTTTGTGAATTAGTGGAGCGAAGAACGTTGAATTCATGTGGTAATGGTGACACTGATTGGATTGTGTTATGGACTTGTGTATCGAACAAGGTGCTCATGTGGGAAATGAAAAGCAGTTGGTCCTCCATGTCGAAATCATTGAAATCTTAAACATGGGGTAAGCCCAACGTGTGTGGCACCGCTCATTGCACAAAATCGGGTTTTGGAAGATATTTTAGTGATCCTTAGTGGGGTACTCCTACAAGGTGAAGCTAAGCTGTCTCTAGTACAAGTAAAATTTTCACCCGTTGAACGGTTTGTCTACTCGAGGATGTGTTTTTAAGGGCACGGATAGAGCTTCTGACCCCCCTTAATTTCATTGACCCTCCACACGAGTTGTGGAAAAGGAGTTAAAAGAAGTACTCTGGCGAGCGCCAGATGTACAAAAATTGCTCTTGCTCGACTAATAATGGTCGACCGTGCAAAAGACTACAGTTGGAACCCCCGCCAAGTGAATAAAAAAAACAAAAAGAAATATAAAATGAAAGTGAAAAAAGGGGTTCCAACGGTGAAATGAAGTGAAAGAGCACCCCGGTACAATGAGTTCTTGTTTGTGAATGGTGTGAGTCCCTTTATCCATGAACTGGCTGTCTTACTCCCACTTCTTCTCACGATCCTGGTTTGAGTCTAGTACTCGCATTAAGAGAGATAGGGAACGTCTTAGAAGACCAGTTGACCTCGTAAACTGCTATATGATCTAGGAAATCCTCTACTGATGATCGAGGTTGTTTGTTGCTATAGAGGTCTGGAGAGTTGCATTGGTTTGAGTTAGGTTTGCTTGGGGACAAGCAAACGGTTAAGTGTTGGGGAATTTGATAGACCATTGATTGCACATGTTTTTACCCCTATTCTTGAGCCATTTGAGATGTTGATTCTCGTGTTTTAAGCTGATTTTACGCTAGGTTGTGTGTTTATGTCATATTTCAGGGCTTGGCGTTGGCATCAAGGCGAAGAAACGAGTTTCGGGTTGAAAGGAGCACGTTTGAGTGGAAGTGTGCTGGAGGAGCAAAATACCCGGCCAGGTATTATTCTAAGCAGACCGGGGAAAATCACTTTTGGGCGTTTGAGAAGCAGAAGGGGGCCCGGGCATTGAGCATAAATCCCTGATCAGGTATTCTTGACCTTGACCGGGGATTAATCCCCTGTCCAAAGCGGTGCGTTTCAACAATCCCCGGTCGCCACCTAAAAATACCCGATCGGGTATTCTGGCCGGGGATCGCGAATGACAGCTTCTTAAGGGAAAAGAAGCGCAAAGTTGAAGGGTTCCGAGTTTTAGAGAGAAAAAGCGTATACCTAGAGAGAGAAAGTGGCGAACCTAATTCTTCAAGCGCCTTAGATCGATCTTCATCACCATTGGAGCCCGGCTTGAGCTTGGAGAAGTGTTGATTCATTGCCAGAAGCAGAATCTCATCCTTCAAAGTATGGTTTCCGCATCTGAGCTAGATTTCCCATCTCTCTCTATGGAGTAACTTTCTTATTCACCTAGGTATGAAGAACCCTAGACTTGTATGTTAGGTCTGATTGTATGCACCCAAGTACGAATTCAGTGACATGATTATATTAAATTGAGGTTTGATTTCTTGAATGGCATGAATCTTAATCAAATTCCTGTTATTTCTGCTTTGACCTAGAAAGAGAATATCTGCCTAGGTTGATAGAGCACCCTTAATTGAAGGTAGTGAATTGGCGACTTTAGTCGAGAAGTCAATTCACTATTCTGTACTGGATTTAATTCGGTAGAGGAGGTTTGGTTTGTTAGGGCCTCAATCTGTTTACTCCGGTGGAGGTTAGTCGCCCGCTTGGGACTCAGAATGAGAGGGTCTGGAGACCTTTAGTCGAGACTGCAGACTGTTTAAGAACCTCCGCAGTATAACTATCATTGAAATTGAACTTGGTAAATTACAAGCTGGCTTAACTACAGTCTAGGGGGAACCATATCCCGGTGACCTCTCTCAACTTGAAAACAACATTTTACTGCTTTGCTTGTTTGGACCTTTACTACACTTTCACTGCTAAATAATAAGAATTCACAGAGTAGTCATCACACTTAGGACCCGGGTTGACATTAAAACCCAAACCTGCTATGCTACGCTCTAGTAGGTGATTACACTTGGCCATTTTCTAGAGTGACGGTAGAAGCGAGTCACTTTGTTTGCCGCCTCTGCTTGACCATTGGCTTGGGGTACGCTACTGAGTAGAAGCGAGCTATCGTGACCATTTGATCTCAAATTGCTTACCATGATTGAACACGAGTGAATTGGGAACGCCAAATCGCGTTGGTATGTTGTGTTTTAAGAAACGAGTGACTTGTTGCGCGGTAATTGATGCAAGTTCCTCGGCTTCAATCCACTTAGTAAAGTAGTCGACCGCCAGTATGATGTACTTGCGCTTGCCTCTTGCTGTTGGGAAGGGCCCAAGAGGTCTACTCTCCATTGTGCGAACGGCCATGGGCTCCTGTTGCCCTGGAGTTTTGCAAATGGTATGTGATGTTGTCGTGCGTTAACTTCGCATATGTGGAACCGGTCGACAAACTTCTTTGTATCCTTCTTGATTCGTGGCGAGTAATACCCATGGAGTAGAATGGTGCGATCCATGCTAACCGAACCCCAAAACAACTCCTTCCCAATAATTAACTAGCCTATTCCTAATCTCAAAGCCCATCCCAAAATAACATCATCAATCCTTCCCCCTCAAAGAACCTTGTCTGCAAGGTTTTGATGTTAACAAATTCCGCGAGGGACGATGATGATGACAACTGCAACTTTTAAGACAGCATCGCGATTGTCGCCTCCTAAACTTCCAGTTCTCGGTGCGTCACTTGTTATTCTTCCTTGTATTGGCCAAGACTCCCAATGTGGTCCCTTGAGCATAGGCAGGAAAAAGTTTATTCCCATAGTATACTTAGGGGTTGGGTTAAATGGAAAAAATGTGGAAGCTTTCCACCACAGTCACCACCCTTTCCCCAAGCAAGAGTCTACCGAGGGTTCCTAGTGAATGAATCAGGAATGGAAGGTCCGTGCGACCTCTGCTTTGCCCACACCCTTCTTCTCGTTAACTTGCGTGTTAGGCGCGGCCTCCCGTATGAACCCAGAAAGCGTCTCTCCCCTCCGGCAACCCTACGTTCTCAGCGAATCCCACCGCCGCCAAGATTGAATTCCGTCCTAGGCTCTTATTCGCCAGAGCTCGAGTCTCGCAGCCGCATCAATGAATTCACCGATTGTCATTTGTCACAACCCCAACCCCTCCGCGTTGTCCAAACGTCGGAATTCCAAAAACGAAGCCGGAGCATTCAAGGAGCGTGTTTTGATGATATGGTCAAATAAAAGGGTTAGCTATGGGGTAGTTTGGATGAACAGACATGACGATGGCCTTAGAAATAGGATAGTCGAATTGGGGTGTGAGATGCTGATGATACATTAATTCGAACCAAATTAAAATAACATGAAATTTTTGTTTATAACTTATATATTTTTTGGGTGTTCAATTATAGATCTTTACAAAGTAAGGTATCATACATAACGTTAATCATTATTAGAGGACTTCATAGCAAGAATAATTAATTAATGGGTGCAAGTAGTAATTAAATTTATTAATTTTATCATAATTTATAATGAATGTTAGATTAGATCAACAGTGGAAAGAACCGGAGCATACCAGTCGTATCGGCTGAAGCTGATCTAAGTACATCTAACGGTTAGATCACCTGATGTATACTATCCGTCTGACGTACACCAGTCATTACTATATATATATAGTATACTATACTATACTATACTTTAAGGCCTTGAAAAGCAGCCTTAACGACATCGTATGAACCCGAAACCCATGTCATCTTGTAGATGAAGTTTTTATCTTCAAAATAACACCATAACCTCTCATTTCCATTAACCCAATTGGAAGAACCAAGCTCCCAATGTTGGCTACCTGAACACATCAATATACTTAGCCAAAATTCCAAATTGTTCAAATGAGTTGGGCTAGCTTCTTGGGTAGGTAATTCTAGCTTGGCAATGATGCAATTCTTGGTGTATCATATATAGGATAGAAAACCCTAAGAACTATCCTAGTCCTAGCCGAAACCCACCACTCTTAGACCATTCGGCCACTCTATCCTAGTCCTAACCTCATCACATGCTTTGACGATTCAGAAGCTTTACCCTTGAATTATCAAACCTTTTGTATTCTCAAGTCTGGTCCTCTACCACAGTTGTTGAACTTTCTGTCAGGAGCGGTATAAATATCACCCCAGCGAGTGAGCTTAGAGAGTTGGAAAAGGAAAAAAAGAATGCTATTTGACTTGATTTCTCACTACAAAGAAATGGGCCTAGCCCAGGGGTTTCCTTCCAGGGGTTTCCTTAACCGCTGCCGGGCTTTTATATTGGTAACTTTGGCAGCCAATCCAGCAGCGGTCATTGCACCCGCTGAGAAGCCCAATTACCTTTTGCTGAAAATGTTTTCCTGATTCCTCTATCTTCCCAAAATCAATTTCTTTTCTCCCTACTCCAGCTAGTCGAACCCTAACACCGCCGTAGACGATACCCTCAATCTCTGAAACAATCCATGTCTGTGCCCCTCTTTCTCTCACCTTCGTGACTTGAAACTTAGACATCTGATAGCTCACTAGCTCTACGTCGTCCCTGTGTAGCTTGCTATTCAGATGAACTCACAATCTCTGATCAAATCTCTTTCTCCGCATGGTGCTCTGGCTTTGTGGAATCCTGGTTCGGCCGTCATTTTCCGTCTTATCTGTTCTGCATTCATATATTCTCAATTGATAGTAAGAACTCGCCTATTTGATTGCTTGCTTTCTTTCTCTGTATTTGACTTAGGTTTTTGGTGAATATCTTTCTCTCTCTCTGGTCAATCGGCTTCTAGCACGAAGGAAGCAGAGTCGATAAGGAATTGAAACTTCAGTTTTGACAAGGATGGGGATGAATTCATGCTTGGGGTGTGCGCTGAGGAGATGCGGGATGCGGAGACTCCAATTAGGGTTTGTTATTTGAGATTTTTGGATTATTGAATTCGTAGCAGTTATAATTACCTAGGTATGATTAGAATTCTGCATTATATCGACTGCAATTCAGACCTTCCCTGCTGTAATGGTAGGTGTCGGTTTCTCTATTCGTTTATTCAGAATTAAGCATATGTTATATAGATGGCGCTTGCATGATTTTCCTTTCCTTTCCCCTCATTTTCCTATCATTTTGTTTTGTTTACCTTGTAAGATATAATGAGACATAATCACATAGCTTCAGTTTTCGGTGTTCCTTTGTTATTGTGAAATCTTTGGGTTTTGTACTTAGTTTCTGTTTGGTAACTCATAGCCTTCAAGTTTAAGTTAGAGAAGTGTCTCCTTCATTCAGTTTATGTTTATTGCTTTTTATCTTATCTGGTATAAGTTAGAGAAGCGCCTGCTGGGTCTGATATGGTTTCTAAATTGAAACTATTGCAGGCAATATTTCCTGATGATATAGCTCGATTCAAGCATGCATACTCTGTCAATACTTCAGGGACTTACGATGAGGAAGAGAAAGAAGCCCTCACCATCCTTATAGCAAAGAGTCGCTTGAGTATAGTGGGGCTTTCCCACCTTTCAAGGTAGAACCCCAATAATATAAACAACTTTGATGTTATCCTCTGTTTAACAAAGAATGGTAATTGATGATTCATTGATGTGTAGTAGTTGCAGTGTTCTTTGTGTGTAGCTGTGTTGTTGTTGCCCATGCAAGAATATATCGATTGTAGCACTTAAACTGCGATTCAGCTTTTGGGAACTTTTATAGATACCACTGCAGAGTGTCTAGTGGGTTCTGTGATCTCATTAATTGGGTTTCATTTTAATAAGCAGGATTTGGTTTCATCAAAGTCTAATGTTGCTACTTGTGATAATTTCCCCCTGTTTCTGGGCTACTTATGTATGAATCATATTCCCTTGCAGGATATTATAACAAAGAATTGTCAAGATGTACACTTGGTTCATGTTCTGATTCTGTTTTAGCTAATGTGTTGTTTGGTAGCTGGGAAAATCGTATAATAAGAAGGGAAATTTTGGTATGAAAGAGCAGGTGTATCTATAGGATATATTCCTTTTGTTATGCTTGAGCTTGATTGTTCAGAGGATGCATTTGACTTCATCTCGATAGCTTTGTATATGAAGCTCCTTCATTTGTGTTACTTTCACAATTAACTAAAGTTCATTCTTGAAAGCTGCAGCCTACGGCGTTTGACATGGATAGATACTTTTCCTAGCTATATGCATGCTAAAGTTCTGTGTTTTTATTGGTTTTTAAGTAGCCAGCGAATGAATTTGTCTATATGCAGATATATGGAGCTGTCTGATTGGCCAGATGCAACTAAACTTGCTAGCAAGTACCTCACTGAACTGAAGCAGGTAAGTCAACTTAATCCAACACTCAGTTCAGGTGAAAGCCTCAACAGATTATGAATATGAAGGAGGAGGTACAAACGACTCATATTTTCCTCCAAGTCTTATTCGGTTTCTATCTTTCTTTATGTTATTGACCTGAATTTCTTGGACAGAGGGGTCTCAAATGGACAAGGCCGAGGTCGCGGTGGCAAAGAAGGTCAAGGGCAGAGGTAGTACCAAACACCCTAATGCTTATTGTATATTATGCAGTTTATCTCGAGGCATTTCCATCTCATGATGTTACTTTTTTATTGACTATGTCCGAATCTTTTTCAGGGAATGTATATGTGTCTGTTGAGTACGAAGATGGTGGTTCTCTAGCTAAATCATTAAGGTATGAGAAATATAGGTTCATTTAATTATCTTTACACTAATACATTTATTCTTCCATTGCATTCACCATCTTAGTCATGTTTACACAATTATGCACTTCTGCTTTGTATTTTGCTCTTCTGCTATGTTGTGTTCAAGATGTGCAAGCTTCCTTGCTATTGGTTAGTTGCTAAATCATTAAGGTATAAATGCTATTTTGGTTCTTATAATCACAGTACATATATTTGTTCTTAAGAAACTAAAGCTTAAGAATTTGATGTCCCTTAGGATAGAAAGCTGAGGTGTCAAGGTTAGGAAACTAGCTAGTCTTCTAAGTTTGTAATTTCTTAAATCTTACAATAGTTATCTTTACAATTATGGGTATGCTATGCTTAGTAATGGTTAAGTATAGTCCCAGAAAGGAGCAATCTGATATGTCTTATAATTGTGTATAGGAAAAGGCACATAGTCTTCGACAAGAAGAGGTCTTCTGATAATCAATAGATATTTCAGAAACTGCATAGGCCAGAGCATCCTGGGAGGGTTTGTTTAATAAAGAGGTCAGGGGAGGGGTCAATAGATGATTCATTTTGTACACCATCTTCATCAAGTCAAAGTGCTACACGTGGCTATTGAAAGGTAAGTAAAAGACAACTTATCTGTTGCCTTGGTCTTCTATCATTATCTCTTGAATCATCCTTGCTTGACCAATAGTTCATTTCTTGTTGATGAGAGTTTTTTGTTTGATCACACATGCTTCTCCCTGGTTTCATAAGGTCTCTGTTTCATTTTGAAGCCTAGCTGAAAGGAGTTGTGGGGCTGGCTATGGGTTTGCTTTCTGATTGACAATTTTCTACTACATGATCTAGGCATACCCACAAGAGAGGGGGAGGGAGGGAGGGAGAGATAGAGAGATGAGATGGGTGGGGTGGGGTGGGGTGGGGTGGGGAAGGAAGAAGAAGATCAACAATAATCTGTTTATTAGTGGTTTCCCATTTTCACTTAGTAGCTAACTAATAATATGTTTGTTTTGGTTGGCTTTGTAACAGGATAAACTGAGCTGTTGGTGATTCAGAAGAAAGGATTTGGCTGCAACTTTATCTTTGTTCAACTTTTATGTTTTGAATTACTGTGAGTAACGTAGACTTGGAAGGTACTGCTAATATGTGTTAAAAATTGAAAGTTGCAGCAGATTGTAGGGATTCTAGGATTTATGAAAAAATTTACTTTCTCCATCAGCTTGTAAAAACGATCGTTAAAAGTTGTAGTTAAATATGGTTTCCCAGGGGTTTAGGAGTGCTGTAAACTGTTCGGCTGAAGTGTCTTGTAGCAGGGTTCTAAAACCGTTGCGGAACCATCCGCGACTGCTGCAAAAATTCATTTCCAATGACACAGAAAACACCATAGCAACGATATATCTCCGCTGCAGAAAAACCTCGCAAGAACATACACCAGCGGTTGGGCAAACCCCTGCCATAAATTTGCGGCGGTTATTGTTGCGGCGGTTTAGAAGCGGTTACAGAAACCCCAGCCGGAAAGGTTAGCAGCGGTGTTTTTCGTTGCTAAATACAAAAAATACCCATGCTATAGGTGTTTTATTTTGTAGTGTCTGACCGAGATTTGTCTCTGATTTTTCTTGAACTAAGCTTTTCTGTAGCAGTGTAGTGGCACATGGGCTAGGATGGATTAAGGTGACTAAGTGGTTCCTAAGTGAATTTCAACTTTTCAACTTCATTTAAATCTAATCGTCTAAATTAATTTAATTTAGTGAAAGTTAATGTGGTAATTGAATGTTTTTT